ATAACATCTTAAAAAAAAAAGTCAGATTAAAAAAAAGGACACTCCGATTGATGAGGGTCTGACCCTCATGACCCACTTCCTAATAGTGCGGATTAGCATTTCAACAAATGACTTTGGTGGGCAGTGGCCACAGACGTTTAGTTCATCACAACCAGGAACAAGTGGACAGCAGTCAGTGTTGTTGAGACCTGAAACAGTGTTATGGAACAGTTAACCATACAAGTCCTGCACAGTGGATGCCAGAAAGGGAAAAGGTGGGAGACGCGACAGTAGCTGAGCTGTAACCACTGCTGCCAGAGAGGACAAAGGAGGAAGAAAAACCAGGCCCAGTTCCTTAAAAAGTGTCCACTGTCTTTGCAAAATTTTCCTTACATGCTCTTCTATCTTAAACACAAATTTTTAAAATAAAACCAAAATTACTCCTCATTCAATTAAATGTTGGGCTGTATTTACTGTTTAATATTATATTAGTGTTTTTCTGCTGTTCCTATTAGCAATGTATAGTGTAAATGTCTTTATCTGCAGAAGTCAACCAACTGTGTTAGATGACTTCTGAGATTCTACCTGGTCACCGCAAAGTCTAATTCTGTGTTTTCACTTGTATTTTACAAGCATTTGTAGCCCATGCTGGGAATCTATCTCACTCCTTTTTTTCACCCCAATAGAGATGGCAATACAAGTTAAAAATAACCAACTTATAAATAAGCTATTAGAACTAAACTAGTTGTATGTTGAATTTCTGCAAAGTATTTGAACTACTTTGAATAAACACAAGAGGTTGAATTAGGTGAACGTCATAATCCTTACACCTTAAAATTCTACAGTGTCTTAAAATGCAATGTCTGAAGATATGCCTTTTTTTTTAGAAGAGCAAGTATTTTTAGAGTCATGGCTCTTGAAATGATCAGTTATTAAATATATTCTTACTAGCTTACCTTTAAGAAACTAGTTTATAATTTCAGTATTTTAAAATATTCAAATCTCCATATATTTAAAAATCTACTTAATCTACAACAGACATCCAAAGCTTTAAATTTCATATTGCAAAATAAGGGTAATTTTAATTATATTTCTGGTAATATGAATATTATACATGACTGTTAATTGAGGGCCACCACCACATAGAGTGGAAAATTCAAGTATAGAATTGTTCTGAGGCGATAATAGGAGAACCGGAGGATACCATTATATTTTTGTAGGTCATAAGCCATAATATTATTCTTTCTCTCCCCTAAGAACATTTTAAATCTATTATGAATTCTTTTGTTTTGAATCACTGAGGCAATTTAAAGTAAGAAGTCTTTCTGAAAGTAATAAATTAATACTCCTTCAGTGAAATTTTCACTCAAATGTCAGAACCACTACAAAATTTGTACTTTTTTTTTACTAAAAACTTTTTTAGTTTCACAGTGCGGAAAAGGTTTTGTCCAAAGAACTCCTTATTTTTGCAAATGTACCAATCACTTAAGTACTTTTTTTAAAGATGTTATTTATTTGAGATAGAGAGTGACAGAGAGCGCACCAGGGGAGGAGGAGGTGGAGAAGGGCAGAGGGAGAGGGAGAAGCAGACTCCCTGCTAAGCAGGGAGCCCAAAGTAGGCCTCAATCCCAGGACCCTGAGATCATGACTGGAACTGAAGGCAGACGCTCAACCAACTGAGTCACCCCAGGCACTCCCGAAGTACTTTTAATAATAATATTTTAAAAATCCTAGCACGCCTGGGTGGCTCAGTCGGTTAAGCGTCTGCCTTTGGCTCAGTTCATGATCCTGTGGTCCTGGGATCCAACCCTGCATCAGGCTCCCTGCTACGCGGGAAGCCTGCTTCTCCCTCTCCCACTCCCCCCTGCTTGTGTTCCCTCTCTCACTGTCTCTCTTTCTCGGTCACATAAATAAATAAAATGTTAAAAAAAAATCCTGTTAAACACATACGTATTGAATTCAAGAGAAGTATAAGACACACTTACAGGACAGAATGGGATATGGAACAATCAGAATCTATAATTGCTACCTTATGGGACGGAGTGCCTTTCCCTAACAAACCACCAGGGCCTGGCAAAGGGAGATAACTGTGTGTGTCCAGGGCGTAGGGTTGGGTGGGGGTGGAACCGGAGGAGGTGTTTAGGGTGGCATGGGTGACAGAAGTGGTGAGGAGGTCAGTAAGAATCATGTTTCTGTATCTGAGTTGTCTCAGATACACACAAATGCCTCCATTCTCTTTGTGAGCAGCCATGATGACTATACTGTTGTCATATAGACACTGTAGACAGAGAGAAGTGGATGCCTAAAAGCTTAAAAATTTATCTTTTCTTCATTTTCCTTCCTCCCACCACTTCCCCCAGCACCAGAGAGTGTTTAAGGCAATGCAAAGTGGGCCAAAAATACCATTCTTAATGTGGGAAGAATATACTATCTAAACGTGTCCAGAAAACAAACAAGAGGGGGTTTTAGTGTTTAACTGTAGAAAAACAGTAGCCCCAGATTTCACTTTCCATGGTTTCAGTAACCCATGGTCCAGAAGTAGATGACCTTCTTTCTGACATAACATCAGAAGGCCAATAGTAGGCTGAAACTATGTCACATGCCTAGTCATTCACCTCACTTCATCTCATCACCACAAGAAGGGTTAGTATAGCACAATAAGATATTTTGAGAAAAAGAGACATTTATGTAACTTTTATTACAGTATATTATTATAATTGTTCTATCTTATTATTAGTTACTGCTGTTAATCTCTTACTGTGTCTAATTTATAAATTTATCATAGTTACAGGAAAAAATATATATAGGATTTGGTACTATTTGTGGCTTCAGACATTCACTGGGTGCCTTGAAACCACTCCCCCTTGGATAAGGGGGAGCTATGGTAACTAGTCAAAAGGCAGAAGAAAAAATAACCTGCCTTAACATATTTTCTTTTCAGCATCACGTTCAATACTGGCCAAACATATACAGGCTCAGGAAGAGAATTTAATGTCGTTTCTGCCAACTCTGGAAACAATTCTACTGGGAGGCTCAATAGTCCAGGTTAAGACTGGTCATTTCGTGACTTGTGAATTCTTAATTGTACAAATTTACAGAAGAAAGTTATTTTTTTCCTAGCTGTTCAGAACCAACAATGTTTGCAAAACATCAAGATTCCAGAGAGAAAATAGAATTTTGCAGATTTCATTGCTTGAAAATTTCTTAACCTGTATCTTTCCATGAAATTGTTTTTATTTTATAACCTGTTAACTGTCTCTTTAGCAGAACAAGGTCCACAGCAGCAAAACCATGACAATTAGGCTAAGACAAACCTCCAGTGGTGATTTCTTCAATTGAAGAATTTGAGGAAGCAAGCATGCTTATTCGTTTGATATATCAACACAACTACTTCATACAGAACCTTTCACTCACACTGGAAAAAGAGGCTTAATTATATATATCCCATTGTGGTATTACTCATTCTTTCAACATGTTTTTGAAAAGAAAAAAAAAGTTCACTACTTTAATAAGGTCTTTTTCTTTCAATGTTATCATCCCATCCGTTGCTGCAACATAAAGATGTGTTATGAAGAATTTCCCATCTCAAAGAATGCCTTGTATCCCCACCAGCAAAGTAGGCACACTCTGGGAGGCCAGCCAGGATGTGGGAATGGCTTCCTATAAAACTCGATTTTTATATGTATGTTAAAATGGGATTCTACCTGTATTTGCAGTAGTTGTAGATTTACTAAATGTGTTCTATCCTTCAAGAGCACATTGCTAAATTCGGGGAATTCTTTCATTTTCTCATTTTTGCAAAGAGAAGATAAGATTCTAAAATTTCCTTTTTTTTTTTTGGCAATAGGTGAAGTACATTTATGGAGGTGTTTCAATACTTTCTTTGGTTAGAAAAGTTTATGCAAACCAAACTCAAAAATTCTATAGAGTGCCTCGGGAACTCTATTTTAATACACCCCAGGACTGTTCTAAGCGCCATCGGATTTCTTCACCATGGAAATAGAAAATATTAATCAGTAAAATAACAGTTTTTCAGGAGGGCTGAGAAGGGTGGAATTAAGTTACCCGGCAAGCAAGACAGTCGTTACAGCTGCACCTCGGGTTTGTCGGTTCCCACTCTTCCCCTCCTCCCCCACTCCCAACGCCGAGACAGAGCCGTGGAGGGACAAGATGGGCGAGGCAGAGATTCTCTAGAATCGCCCGTTTTTCCTCCAGCGCTGCGCACCTGCCGCCCCCACTCCGTGCGGTCGCAGCCAACTTCCCGAAGGACGCCTCGGACCCAAGGGCAAGGGGCGCACCTGGCGCACCAGCCTCGCCTGCGGGGGCGAGCTCGGCGCCCAGATTAGTGGGCCGAGGGTGCTTTCTATTTTTTTTCAAGTCAGCCTCCCGGAGGATGTTGGATTTGGCGGGGTGTGCTCTTTGAAATACTATATTGGGAACCTCATACATTAAAAAATACATTTTTTTTTAAATTGCAAATCTTCCCGGTTCACTAGGCAGCTGGAGAGCAGGCCCGAGGCGGTGTCCCCTCCCGCCCTCCACCCCCGCTTCCCTCCTTCCCGCCCCCTCCCCCCGCCCGGAGCGGGACTCGCGGGAGCCGCCCCCTCCCGAGCGCCCACTTGGTTCCTCCCAGCTGCCGTGTGAATGGGCCGCCCTCCGGATTCCGCGGAGGGGGCGGCGGGAAGAGGCCGAGCCCGGGCCCCGGCGGCCGCCGCCCCCGCCCCCGCCCCGCGGCGGCCCACGCCGGGATCTGCGTCACTCGGCCGCGCGTGGGCGGGAGCCGGAGCGGCGAATGTAGCAAGAGCGGAATCTCCCAATGTGACAGCGCGCGGGGGGTGGAGGTGGCGGAGGCGGGCGGGGGAGGGGGAGGGTGCAGCGCGCGCCAGGAGGAGAAGGGAAGGGAGGAGGAGGGAGGACGCGGCGGGGGAGGTGCCGCTGCCACCGCCCGCGCGCCTGAGCCCGGAGGAGCCGCCGCCGCCGCCGCCAACGCGGCCGAGCGGAGCGCCGTCGGGGCTGGCGGGCAGGAAGAAGCGGCGGGTCCGAGCTGGGGGGGGAGCAGGGAGAGCGCGCCCACCACCTTCCCTTCCCCCCTCGATGGGAGCGGGGGCGTCCCGGCCGCCGCAGCCGCCTGAGGAGGGAGAGCTGGGGGCCGTCACTTCGGAGTTGGGGCTGAGCCGTCCTCGCGGGAGAGCGTGCCAAGACCGCTGCAGCCGCTGGCCGAGTACGTACCTGCTCGCTGTCCACCAAGTACGAGACGCGTTGGCGCTCGTGCGGCCGCGGGCGAACTTGGGGCGGCAGAAACGCCGGGCCGCGCGGGCACTCGGGGGCCGGCGTCCAGGGGAGCGGGCCCCGCGCGGCCGCCACCGGAAGGAGAGGGCGGCATCTGGATCGTGTGGGCGATTCCCAGAGAAATTCGGTGCGCCGGGGCAGCGAGAAGAGGGCGAGCAGGGCAGCGGGCCTGAGTTGCGCGTCTTCCCTCCCGAAAAAGCCGGGGGTGCGAGTCCGTTCTCCTAACGCAACTGGGGTCGTCGCGCGGGGCGCGGGGGTTGCATGGTGTATTGTGCGTGGTGGGTGCGCGCGCCGGCCCCAGAGTTTTGCAGCTACCTTCCCCAAGGCCAGAATCTTTTTGTTGGGTTGTTTACTTTATAAAAATGTTGCACTTACAGTCTTAGTTTTTGTCTTGGGTATCCTCTCCTTCCGAATATAGTTTTATAAAAGCGGAAGGAGAGTTTTGCTTGGAAGTGCCTTACAGAAACTTGGCACCAAGGTGCAGGGAAGCGAGAGACTCGTGCTCGCTAAGGCCGAGTGTGGAATTTGCAAACACATGTGGGACATACAAGCCTTGATGCAGAGTTGTGTGACCTTATTCGTGGAGAAATATTGCAAGTGCAATCAGATTTATGGTTTTCAACCTCAGGTTTCACAAGATTAAGATATGAAACGATACTTCCAAGTAAGCCTAAATGTTCTAAGATACCGGAAAAGGATAATTGAGTTGGAATATGCACGAATGGGTTCTGCATACCAACTTTGCAGCAGGTGATCACAAGGAATCTTTGACTTGTGTATAGGTTTATCCCACTCTTCTTGAGATCCGGCGGGCATGGAAAATTGGGGGGTAGCTGTCAATATAAAATTTCTGGAGAAAGATTTGATTTGGAGTAACCTGTCACTACCAGTTGGTTTGCCAGTGACTGCAAACTTAAGGAGTGCAAAGATCAGAAGCTGAGAGGGAAATTCTCAGATCTTGTTTAAAAATATTTTGGCAGTTTTAATAGATATTAGATTGCATAGGAACAGAGGAACGGAATTTAAAATAGATTAGTCACGTAGGAAATGCTAGGCTGTTTTGTTAGAAAAGTGTGCACACAGTGAATTACCTTCTTAGATTTTCACTTTTTTGAAAATTTTCCCTTGTAAGACATAGCAAATTATGACACGTCATAATTTATATGTGGGTTTCAAGACGGAATACTGGAAAAGGGATGCTTAGGATTTATTTTGGGGTGGAGGCTGATATTTTCCTGAAGACTTAAAAGTACTGCTTTCAATCTAGTGCTAGTAAAAGTGGCTCTTAGATTCAAGGGTATCCATTTTCTTCCATTTTTCTGTATTGAGACATCTTAATATTGTTCGTTAAATTTAAAAATTATGTTTTCCTTACAGATATTAATAATGCATATAAAGTTTTTCTTAAGAATATATGGCTGGCAAGGTCAGCCTTTATTCTTGTTTGGGTGTTGGATGCTGGACAATTAGGTCTTGAAAGAAAATAATTTTAAGGAACCATTGGAAAGTTTCTTGTTTTAATTTTATTAGTTTAGTATCTTGTACGAAAGTTAGTATGCTATCCTGGTATTTGAAACGCTTCATATTCCTTGGCTCTGGTGATTCCCTGTTATATGTGAATGAATAATAAAAAACATTGAGGCATTGTAGATTTTTTATTTTATTTCATTTTGCCTGCTAATTGTGGATGTAATTAAAATGACAGAAATCCTTAGGAATACTATAGCTGATAAAAGGAAATTTAGTGAGTTTATATGTCTAATAAGTAATTTGATATATTTAATAAGTAATTTGCATCTTGTCCTTTTTCAGAATTATTAGATCAATTATCTCAACTAAATTAATTTAAAATTCTTCCTTATTGTGACTAGTAAATAACACCCATCGTCTTATAGGGAAGTTAATATATTTTCATCCCCCTGGTTAGAGAATCAGTTAAAGCATTTGGTATTTTAATCACACTTTAAGGACATAATGGTTTATTGTTCAAGATTTTGGGGGTTTGCACTGTGGATGCTTTGAAAGAACAAATTAAATGTATTACAAAGTGGGAGAGACTTTTGAAGAATCTATTGCTTGAACTTTAAATATTTAAAGTAAAAGGTAGTTAGTTGGATGGAAACAAATATGTCAGGTTTTTGTGTCTCTTGACCTAAACTCTGGTCTAAGACTTGGGTCTCATCTATCCCATTAGAAGTCTTTTTGTTTTGTTGGTGCTGTTCATGTGCATCATGAATATGGTTTTATGTTACTTTCATGGAAATGAGCTTTTTTTTTTTTAAAGATTTTATTTATTTATTTGAGAGAGATTGAGACATCTATCAATCACGAGCAGGGGGGAAGGGCAGAGGGAGAAGCAGACTTCCCAGTGAGCAGGGAGCCCAATGTGGGACTCTATCCAAGGACCCTGGGACCATGACCTGAGCCGAAGGCAGACGCTTAACGACTAAGCTACCCAGGCGCCCCGGAAACGAGCATTTTATAATATGTTTTGAACAATCTAAGATCTTGCTAATGTGTAATTGTCTTGCATATGCATATTTCATTGTGGAGTTTATTAAATATATTAAGGAATAAATAATACCCTTTCAAGCATAATATTAGCCCCTTTGTTTTGGATTTAGTTTTATCTTATCTGCTTCTTTCATTCTTTTTAGTGGAATGAAGAATAGTAGTTATGATATTAAATGCAAATTTTCTTTTTGATCTGACATGTTCAAAAACTAGTACAATAGTAGAACATACTCTCTTAAACTTAATGAAACAAGTGGGAAATCTGAGAAGTTGGTGCTGGAAAAAATAGTAATCCTCATCTTGTCAGAATTCTCACAGCTAAAACATGGCATTAAGCTTTCAAATAGTTTGTCATTTCTCAATACCTTGTATTTAGAGGGCTGCACAGTTAATTTGCACAGTATGTTAATTTAATTTTAAGGAGAAATTTCTGGAAAAAGTACGCCTTCTACATGCTCAAAGGACATTAGTGTTTGTTGAATGACTTGTCTGATGGTTGATTGAAGAATTTCCAGCCATATCCTATGAAGGAATCTGTAAGACATTTTTTCCTCCAGGTTTATTCAGAATTCAGAAAAAAATCAATGGAGGGTACATTTTAAGTTCTGTAAATTACTATTAATTCATTAGCAGCTATATGTTTAACTCATAGCTATGATAGTATTAAGATTCTGAATATTTTAAGATCACTGAATGCTTACTAATAAATTTGTCTAGGTAAATTATTTGGTACTTGGAACATACAAACACCAACTCTGCAATCTGAAGTAACCCATGATGTAACCAAACTTTCTATTTAATTATTTTAGCTTGAGTTCTAGCACTAGGACAGAAGTTTGGAAGAATTCATTTCCTAGGCTTAAGACTTCTCCTTCCCTAAACCAACCTCTGGCTTGTCATAAACCTTTTCCGGTTCAACCTGTAGTGTACCCACTACGCCCTTCTCACCAGGCCCCTTTCTTCCAAACTTGGTGGTACTTCCCAGGCTTTAAATGCAAGCTCTGCCCTCAGTTTCCTCATTCCTTCCGTACCATTTCCAGTCCCTGTCTTTCATTCCTTTAGCGTGCACTGGATCTCTATCTAGATGTTAAAAGGAAAACAGTCTGGTGGAACTAATTCACCTTAATCTGTAAATGACTCATGAGCTAACTCTTCCCAAATTTTTTTCACATTTTTTATAAATCTGTAAGAGGCTGCTGTTAACTTAGACAGTTTTAAAGTAAAAATTTCAGGCTGTGTTGGGAGGAAGGAATTTATAGTCTTTTGCATAAAAAATAATTCAGATCTTACTGGGATTCTGCCCTTGCTTTCTCCTCACTCCTGAAGAGTCTGTTCTTTGGAATGCCACAGACTTCATGAAAGTGTGTGTATACTGTGTGTGTGTGTGTATTTCCTACATTATGAAGAGGAGGATTCAAGAGTAGTGATTGTGAATCCATTTGATACTTGTTATTTGTGGATAACTTATATTGCATTTTAATTTATAGGAACAAAGAAGGAAAAGACCTAGAATCTTTATGATCTCTTAAAATGCTGGTATTGGGACTGGACTAACACATGAAATATATTATAGTAGTAACCACATGTAGTTCCTGTTCTGGAAATACATCCTTAGATCTTTTGGAAAAATAGCCATGTCATGGAAATCCAAATACAGCCTTATAAGAAAGAAGTATTGAGGATGAGAGAATGTAAAAGCTTTTAGGGAAAGTAGTAGCTAGAGATTGGTCATTCGGACACCATTGGGGCACCAGTTTACACAGAGAGCATTGCTTTTGGAATATGAAAGGAGGTTGCTGATCAGATTCTGTCCCAAAGTTGGGTTTCATTCAACAGCAACCTTCATAGAGATGTTATTCTACATTGAACACTTGGCTGGAAGTGGGGGATGGAAGATGAACGAGACCCAGTTTCTACCCTCAGGGAGCTTATATCCTCTGTTCTGCAGAGCCTGGTGAGGTTGCATCTTTATTCCACGGCTCCTTATGTATAACACTTAGCATAGCATTTATCACAGTGTTTAAGTGTCTGCTTATTTGTCTTCCTTCACCCTCTTAACTCATTCTCCATGAAGGATCATTTGAATAAGTGGGGAAAAAAATGAGAGAGAAAGTAGTGAAGGGTTCAGAGAAGGGACAGGACACCTACACCAAGGGGGTGTGGGGAAGGCTTTATGGAAAAGGCCAGGGGAAGTGGGCAGGAGGGAGTATGCCTGGCACAGGGGCAGGGAAGTGGGAGGCACATTCAAGGAATGCCCGGTGTATCTGTTTCGCATAAGCACAGGGCCATGTTAGGGATCAGACAGAAGGCTGGAAAGGTATAGGTTTGGGTCTGGGATGCCTGTAGGAGAAGTTTGGGTATCTTTCTCTTTGCAATGGGGAAATTTGCACAGGTGGGTAAAGAGCCACACCGGTACTT